CAAATGTAAACATGTTGGACAATTTAAAAAAAGTCATAGATTTTTGAATACTTCTTTGTAAACAACGTTTTGGTTTGATTTTGTGGCAAGTCATCGTCACACATACTAATAATTTAAATAATTTTAGAATAGAGATTCGATAATAACAAATAAAAAAAAAAATATTTACCTCTTCATCATTGCAATTTATTTCCAACTACTTGACTTCGAAGTTTGCTTTCAAATATACAAATAACTCTCAATGTCAAGTATAACTTGTTTTTTTGGCAAAACGAATTAAAATATAATTATACGAACGGCATATTGACATGGTGAAAAGAATGTAATTAGTCGGATTCTATAAATTTGGGACTGATAAATATACTAAAAGATGTGGTATATGATTTGTGTAATTGAGGAGTGTAATGTCATAATTATTGTTCTCAACCTGAAAATATCATATCATACGGTAAAAATTGCCACGAGCCAAACCGCTAATCCGAGGTTATTGTTCTCAACCTGAAAATACTCCAAAAGGGCTTTTATAAAATTGAAAAAGAAAAAAAAAAAAAAAAAGTTAGGGGAAATTTGAACGTGTGGCAATTCATCACGCGCGTGCGAGTCAACCGCTCCATTTTGCAAACTCAGACCCTTTCATCGCCTCCCCCAACTCACATTTTCCTGCTCCATTATCCCTTTCAACCCTTCTCTTTGTAGCAACAAATTAGAGAGAGAGAGAGAGAGAGAGAGAGAGAGAGAGAGAGAGAGCTCTTGTAGAGTGAAGGGGCTACCTGAGATCAGACTCAAAACGTCTAATCGGATCTCAATCATGTTCAGAAGACTCGCGGTCCAGCTCCGCCATCTCGGCCCGGCCCGATCCGTTTCCAACCGGACTTGTCTGGCCGCCGGGCCGTCCAAGGCTCCGGAGAATGTCCTTCGTTCATTCCCCATCTTGTCTCGCCATTTCAGTACTGAATCTGGTGTGTTTCGAAAACCCTAATTTTAATATTTTCTATGGATTCGTGATCTGAATTTTTTTTTTTTTTTGTTTCGGGATTCTGTTGGGACTTTTGTGTGGTAGGGAATGTGACCAAAACAGTAGAGGATGTAATGCCGATTGCTACTGGTCACGAGCGTGAGGAGCTCGCGGCAGAGCTTCAAGTGAGTTTGTCACTGCCACTGATTTGTTGTTATCTTGTGCTTTTGCTTGCTCCGGAGTTGAATTTTCTTATTATTTGATTGACACCTTGACAGGGTTCTGTTTTTTTTTTTTTTTNNNNTTTTTTAATTATTATTATTATTTATATTTTTGGTTTTTTTGAATTAGGGGAAGGACATACTGGAAATTAACCACCCATCTGGTCCATTTGGAACGAAGGTAATGGAGTGTTTTGTCTAGGTTTTTCTGTTGCTCATTTATGTTTCGAGATGGTTTCGGCAATTTTGATGACTGAGTTTTCTGCGGTATTGTGTTGCAGTTTGATCTGTTTTTGCTTGTATCTAGTAAGTGGGTTTAACTCATCTGAACTCAACAATAGGCAAACAAAAAGTGAATGGAAGCCTTTGTAAGGAACTGTTCGATATTATTGCCGATTCTAAATTGACAAACTTATAGTTCACACTATGTTGATTTGTGTTTGTATGGTCACATTGTCAATCTCTTTCCTACCTCAGAATTTTAGTGCGAAGGTGTTTGGTTTAATATATTACTATAAGAAAAACTTAGAGATCTTATATGAATTGTTGAAATTATCTCAATAATATAGAATGTCACCACGGTATTGGTTCATTCTCGTTTTTTTTTTTTTTTTAATTGAAGATCTTATTCACCAATGCCTTATTTATCTTTCCTTTTTTCAATATTTAATAGTGTCAGGTATAACAATGCTGTGAATATTTGTACATTATGACTCATATTCAATAGAGAAATGTGTTTGAATGAGATGAAACCATCAGATAGTTAGTGGATGTGTGTACATATTATGGATATATTTTTATATTGCATGGATGCATTATATATGTACATGTTATATTGTTATGTATTATGATACTGCATATTTTTATATACGTAATTTGCCACATATTTTTGATGTACCATTTTTTAACGGTATGGATTTCTTATTCTTATGCAACTTTTTCTAGGTTTTGTTGTTTTCAAACTCTGTTGTCCGAAGCACAAATATTATATGTATGGATATTCTTGTTGAAATTTAATTAGTCTCATGAAGTACTTGTAATATAAGTTCATGAATGATGCACATTTAAGTCTTCACTTAGCAAATAATTTGCTTGAACATTGTTGTTTCCATCAGACTTGTTTATTTACTATCTATAGACTTGTTGTCTTGCACTAGGATATAGTGTTTTGTATATAAAATAACTCAATCCATACTCAAAATCTTTTACTAATATAATTAAATGATTTTGATCAATCATTCTTACACATAAATCAACTTTAATTCACTATTCATCCACTTACATAATTTTAACTGTCACTTCACATCATATCTTTCTACTTTTACATCAATCAGTTTTAGTTACTTTATTTTAGATATTAATTTAATATAAACTCAAAATTCCACTAACAAATAACCTACCACATTTTTCAAAATTTGCCAAGGGTTAACCAAACAAACTCGTTTTGATAGGAGATATTTGTATCCAAGCACGCCCAAGTGTTTGAAATTCTTCTCGACCCCGGTCTGATGTAGGAGAAGCGTACGAATGGGAAGGATAAAAGAGTAACGAGATACTCTCTCGTAAAACACGTAAACTCAACAATATCTTTTTTTTTCATTCAAAATCAACTCCCTTAATAACAAAACACAAGAGCCCTTTAAATAAGACTCTTAAACTAAACCCCAACTTATTCTCCAAGCTAACTAATAATAATAATAATAATAATAATAATAATAATAATAATAATAATAATAATAATAATAATAATAATAATTGCGTGTTTTACGAGTGAGTATCTCGTTTACTCGTTTATCCTTCCCATTCGTACGCTTCTCTATATCACGGTCTAACCACAGAAAAAGCAGACCGCATGTGATAATGACGAAAAGAAGCAGTACTAATCTGTGATATCACTTTCAGTTACTATCTTTTTCGTTTGATGGCAGGAAGAACCTGCTGTGGTCAAGTCCTACTATGACAAGAGAATTGTCGGATGCCCTGGAGTTGAAGGCGGCGAGTCTTCAATCTTCATCTACGTTTGTTTTCTTTTTCTTATGTGTGTAGAAATTGCGAATATATGATTAATTTTTGCATTCCCATATTGCAACAGAGGATGAGCATGACGTTGTTTGGTTCTGGCTGGAGAAGGGCAAGCCACATGAATGCCCAGTATGTTCTCAGTACTTTGTGGTAAGTACTCAAGGCATGAACTTAACATTGTTGGTACTTAGTCCAAGTTCATGATGTGTCATATTGTTGCTTTAGATGCACAAGTACACACGTCTTAAGCGTACGTTATGTTTTCCTAACCTTAATGATTTTAGGGAAATCGGTTGTATTGAAATTCGAAAGATATGAAATTGCGAAAGTTTTGCGTGGATTGCGAATTTTATTGAGTTAGTAGCTGAAAGGGTATTGTTAATGGTGCTAATTTGTGAAATGCTTTTTGAACTTTGTAGGTAGTGATTTTCCTCATGTGTCAGGTGCTAACAATTAACACAAATTTTAATACAATGGAAATATGATTTTCTAATGCCTCTTTTGTTTCGTCAAAGCTTATGATAATTGCCCGAGTTGGTAAATCTTGTAAAGCTTGAGTCAGATTTCCTTTTCTTACTTTTGTTACAAATGAAAATGCCAATGATGTACGAAGGGGTTAAATTATTTAATCAGGAAGCAAAAAGCCTGCTCAAGTCCAAAATAGATACAAATTTGATTTTTTATTTTCAACAAATATATATATGTTCTATGGTAAGATGTAGTGGAAATCAATTCCTCTTCAACAGGAAGCATTTGTTTTTTTCCTGTTCTTGCTTTTATGCATGCCTGTGCAAGTTTGGAATGCCCCTTTGTTCTTAATTAAAATTAACTTTCTCGTTCGACAGTTGGAAGTGGTTGGCCCTGGTGGATCTCCCGATGGGCATTCAGACAATGATGATCATCACCATTGAGTACAGTCGTGTCATTTTGCTGCCAGAATAAGTTCTGGTGAAAGAATATGATGTAAACATTCTCGAGGATTTTGATTCTGTGTGCTTTTTTTGATGCATCTGTTTTTCTCACGATTGCTCGGGTACAACTTTTACCTGTTTCTTGATGGTTTTTTGGGGATTTAAGAATTTAGGCTTGTTTTGTCGGTTGACAATATGAACTAGCAAAGAATAATTGCTGGCAACAAAACATACTGTCTTGCCACTTTTATCATCTTCCCAGCATGAGCATGGATTGTCTTTTTAATTTCCAAATTGCGGGCCTTCTAGCTTTATATCTCTGCCATCTCTGAGTTTTTATATCTTCTCTATTTAGTAAGGCAACTGTTAGGCGAACTTAAATCTCTATTTAGTAAGGCGACTGTCAGGCGAACTTGAAGGATAAACAGTGGTTCTTTTTTAACATATATTTACATTGAAAACATATTTTGGAAGGCCAAGAGTGGAACCCTCAGCACGAATTGAAGCAAATGTTCAAAATTGCACAAACCACTATTAAAAAGCATCAACTGTATAATATAATTGTCCCTATATTTACCTAATGGATTTCACCATCAACGTATTTTATATCATTTTCGGCTTGAATAAATTTCAAATAACAATGATATGTGTTGGATGTAATGATACATTACTCTATATCAAAAGATGAGCAAAAATGTTAATTTTTAAGGAATATTTTTACTATGTAAGCCACTATTTAATATAGTCTCTCTCTCTCTCTCTCTCTCTCTCTCTCTCTCTCTCTCTCTCATACCGTAGCGGACGACGGACGACAGTTAAAGCGAATGACAGACTCCAACCCATCGTCGAATATGCCGTCAGAGAGGATGGTAGAAGGGTCGAGGTCGAGGTAGAGGTAGCGCATCTGGTGGAAGTAGGACTTGAGTCAGTCTAGGCTAGAGGTTTTCTCTCTCTTCTTACAGCCAATGAGAGGTGGTGATGGTGATGTTTGGGTAAAAATTGGCGGCGACGGGGCAGATAAATGTTATGCAATTAAAAACACAAAATATATTGAATGAATATTAACCATAAAAGCAACATATATTAAAATTATTTCAGTGCCAGTCTTGCACAAAATTTTAATGCTCGTTGCTAAGCTTTGACCTTTTTTTCTTATAATTGCTGACCTGGTCGATCTTGTCATTCATTTTTTTCTTTTCTTTCTCTGGTATGATAAATGTGGTTGGATAAATGTTATTACAAATACAAACGCAACATATAGTACTGAAGTTATACAGGACTATAAAGACAACATATACTGAAAGTATTCTAATGCCCGTGTTGCACAAGATTTTGATGCTCGTTGCCTTGACCTTTTTTTTATATATAATTGTCGACCTGGTCGATTTTGTCATACATTTTTCTTTTCTTTATCTTTTACATACTGAACAGCACTTATAAAGTGTTATACATAGCAATGTTGTATAGACCATTCGGAAAAAAATTAATTACAAATGTGGTTAGATAAATGGTATATAACACATATACTGATTATAAGCACAACATATAATGAAAAATATTTTGATATCCGTCTTGCACAAGATTTGTCTCTCATCGTTAAGCCTTGATCACATTTTTTTTTTATATATATAATTGTCGACCTGGTCTGTTTTGTCGAACATTTTTTTAAGTTGTGTCATAGCTTTCAACAACATCTTCGTCGATTTTCATTGTGTCCATGACGCAACGACGCAACGGCTGAAAGCACCGAAAGGTGAAGACTCCTGAATAACGACGTCGTTAAGACCATCTTTGATAAATATGAGACAGAGCTAGCGGGTCGCCTAAGTGCACGTGCGCGCACCCATTCCTGCTGCCATCGAGCGAGCACCCGGCCGCCTGGGGCTTGGCCATCTTCATCGTTGGAAAAAAATGGGTCTACAGCGGTGCCGACAACGGACGAGTCGGCAGCGAAATAAGAGGATAATCGGTTGAGTCAAAAATAAGAAAAAAAAAAGACGAAAGAGGGAGGGATTAAAACAATAAGAAAAAGAAGCAACTAAAGAGGGAGGTGAAGGAGAGAGAGAAGAAAGAGTGAGTTGATGTAATCCTATTGAATCTAGAGGTGGCCAGGTGTCGGGTTCGGGCCCGGCCAGCCGGGTCGACGGGCCTCAATTGTTGGGCCCGTAACCAGCCCGGCAATTCCTATGGGCCGGTTCATTTGAACCGGCCCGGCGGTTCGTTGAACCGCCAGGTTAAATAAAAAATAAAAGAAACAACTACGGCCCGTCGGAAAATCGGTCCGACCCGGAACCGGCCTGGCCCGACAGATCAAAAATGGATAAAAGACGGCCCTTAACCGGCCCTTAAGAAATCCCGGGCCGGTTCATAACCGCACTTATACGGGCCGGGCCTAGCGGTTCCGGTGTCGGGCCGGGCCTTGCGGGCCGGACCACGGGTCGGGCTGACCCGTGGCCATGTCTAATTAAATCCGCTAATATTAATTCAGATATCAAAAGTTGTGAGGTCCTAGTATTTCTGCAAATAAAAAAGTTAATTTTTGCTCGTTTGCTAATAAGAGCACCTACAATGCTTTGAGTCTCTTAAAGAAAAATAGTGTCATATAGAAAATAGACCAAGTCTATAAAAAGATGTACTTCAAAGCACCCACAATGCTTTGAGTCTCTTAGAAAAAAGTTACATGCCATGTAGGAAATAGACCTAGTTTATAAAAAAATGTTTCCCAATGCAATTAAAAGTGAATCTAGTAGTCTAGCTTATGTGGCAATAAAAAAAGAGACCTAGTCCACACTTGGGTCTATTTCAGACCCAAGTACAAACCCAAGCACTCATCATTTATTTCTCATTTAATTTTTCTTTTAATAAATGAAATATATTAGAACATTTTTATGGGTTGTCATGTATGCTAGACCTAGTATTTTATTTTTGCATTGAATAGCTTTTGAGTTTTTTTACTTGGGTTTGTCCATGTCATTTAGGACTTAAGTCTATTTATATGCCACATATGTAAAATTAGACCCAAAGCATTGTGGGTGCTCATGCAATAAAAAAAGTACACTTGGTCTAGCTTATGTGGCACTAGAAAAAGGAGACCAAGCCACCCTTGGGTCTATTTTGGACCCAAGTACAAACATGCCTAGTCATTAATTGTTCACAATTTTTTTTAATAGACAAAACATATTCTTTTGTATGCATTTATTATTATGATATTTTTATTGGTTGTTGGGTATACTAGACCTAGTACTTTTTTTTTTTTAATTGGATATATTTTGAATTTTTTAGTTTGGGTTTGTCCATGTCATTATAGACTTAAGTCTATTTATTTGTTACATATGCAAAAATAGATTCAAAGCATTGTGGATGCTCTAAGTATAC